CATCCATACATCTAGTGGGCCACTCATATTAGGTGGGATACAATGCCTCATTTTGTCAATAGCATAAGAAGTCCATTGAAACTAAAAAATATATATATAATTCTTTTCAAAATAATATTTTAATTATATAACGATAATTAAAGGTAAATGAAAAAATTTAAATGCATATCCGTGTACCAACTTTTTGATCAATGAGTAGTCGAATTTCTTCTAATTCGTCTAGTATTTAACGATAATCTTTCCTTACACATGACCACCTATTCAATATAAAAAAAAATCATTATACAAAAAAATTATTTATATACAAACTCAGTATTGAAATTATCTCAACAATAACGGGAAGACTAACATGTTTTTCACCGCCGGACATAAAAAGGGCATGCGATACCACGCCCATGACTATAGAAGCAGGAGACATCCGTCGATAGCATTTTTTCAATAATCAGTTGCTCGGCACATTTCTTTATACAGAGATGCCAAAACTGCGGAGCCCCAACTAAATAACCCGACAACTAGAAAATCGGCGAGGTGATGCAACCACATACAATGAACTTGGTTGTGAGATTTATCAGACATCAAGATCCCTCCTATGAGTCGTAATATGCAAGCCTAGGAAAATATTTTAGCCTCTTCCTCGAACATTCATCGCTCAACTGTTGAAAATTTGTAGCCAACTATGATAACGGTATTCGACCACCATTGAAATTAGGCGAGATACCTTCAAGATACTCCTCGCACAAGGAATGCCAATCTCCATCCGCCACTTCATAAATGACATCCCCATCTACCGGAAGCCTCAAATGTAAGGAAACATCTCCATTGTAATAGTGCACTCCCCACATGATAGATGAAATGTGTATCTCTGGTATCTACCTCTCGACCAATGTAGAAATAATGTTGGATTCAAGGTTACAATGCCCTTTATATCTAGCTATGTAACACAATCCAACCTCGGCTAAATACAACTAGACACGATTTGATATCTCTAATTTAGCGTTACGAATAAATGGATCTAATATATGGGCATTCCCCTAATTAAATAAATAGTATACAAATTAAAATATAAACTAATACTAAAATAACATTAAAAATAATTAACATAACACAATTTCAAATTGTTATCGTACCCACAAAATGGATCAAGATATGATTTATATCTAAACGCAACAAATCGCCTCTCCTTTTATAACTGCAAAGCATAAAAAATTAGTACAATCAAATATAATAAAATAAGAAACTATTTAATGATTATAATATAATAAAAATAATTTTACCTTCTAAAAACAATAACATAACTCACTTTAAACTTGTTAGAATGAACTATAAAACTACGAAGGATAGTGTTTTTTTTTTTGTGTGGTTTGAGAGTTGTATGAGATGGTATTTATATAGGGATGGCAAAAAAACCCGAACCCGACGGGGAAAATCGAAAACCGAATTAAACAGATCGGGTTTGGGGATGATAAACGGGGACGGGGATGAGGAAAACCTATTTATTTTAAACGGGGACGGGGACGGGTTTGGTAATCCCCGCCCCGATTACCCGATTACCCGCCCCGATACCCGACCCGATAAATATTAAAAATAATTATATATATATTATATATATATATATATTATATATATATATATTATAATATATATAATTAATAAATTTAATTTAAATAAAAAATATATATTTAATTTAAATATATATATATACCCGGCCCGATTCCCGGCCCAATACCGACCCAATACCCGGCCCAATACCCGTTTAAATAACCGTTCCGTTTCCCCGCGGTTTTCCCCGATTACCCGTCGGGGATCCCCGTTTAAATCCCTGCGGTATTTTAAACGGGGACGGGTACCGGTTTTTTAAACGGGGACAGGGACCGGGGGACCAATACCCGGCCCGAACCCGGCCCGTTGCCATCCCTATATTTATAAGGGGAGTAGGTGGTAATTAAGGGGGAGTGACGGACGATTTGGGATATTTATGGAAGATATCAATCGTGTCTATATCAGTAAATAAGTGTTAGATCAGTAAAACTTGATCAATGAATATCTGACAAGTAATTATTAATTGTTTGAGTGATTTTTTAGGTAAAAACGTCCATTCTTACGTCTAGCTTCGGTTTTTGGGAAATGGTTATGGCGCTCAATCACCAAGTTAAGTATAAAATTATATTATGTTGATTTGTGGATGTGTCATATCATCTTCCTTTAGTTATTTAACGATCGGCTGATTGAAATAAAAATTCTTTTTATAAAGAATAGAACTAATAAATTTTATCAGAATCTAATTATCCAAATTAATTTATCTTATTTAATATCCGATATTTACTCGAATATAATGATTAAATTTGATCTGAAACAAGAATTATACTCAACCCAAATGATATCCGATCCAAAATTTAGCTAATCTAATATGAATACATATAAATCAAAAATAATTTGAAACGAAATTAATCTGCACCGAAAGCAATCTGGACCGAAAAATAACCCAAACAGATAACAACATGAAAAGAATTTAACCCTCCAAAAATAACTCAAACCGAAATTAATTCGAACGAAGAACAATCCAAACCGAAATTCTATATATTCTTTATTAGACTCACAACTAAATTGAGCCTAAATGATAAGATTAATAAACAAAAAGATATTTTTATAATAATATGTCAATAATTATATATATATATATATATATATTTAATTAGACTCATAACAAATTCAGCTTAAATTACTTGATTCAAAGATTAACCCAAATCGAAAATCAATCGATTCGATATTAACCCGACCTGAAAATTAACCAATCTGATATTGACCCAACCCAACCCAAAACCTAACCAATCTAATATTAATCCGACCCAAAAGTCAACTGATTCAATACTGATCCAAATCAAAAAATAATTGATCTGATAATCACTTGACCTGAAAACTAACCTATCCAAAAATTGACCCGACCCGATTTATCATACACTCGAACTAAATCCAAACCAAATCCGATCTAAATAAAATTAAACCAACAAGGTTTGTAAAATATATTAAAATAATAGAATTCTTCGTATGAATTCAATGAAAATTTTAAAATATTGTGGTGAGGAAAAACATTAAAAATATAAGTAACTAAAATGTCATTTATTCACATGACGAGTTTTGTAAAATATACTAAAATAATAAAATCCATCATATGAATTCAATGAAAATTTTATAAAACTTGTGATTTTCAATTATTTATTAGTAACTCATGACATGATGAGTTTCAATTATTTATTATATTTTATAAAATTTATTATTTATTTTCATACGACGAGTTTCACGCACAACAAATTACCTAGATTTTCAATTAATTTCCAGCACTTATATTTCCTAAACAAACTCCACTTTGATTATTTAGCCAACAAAGTCCCTTATCGATATTAGGATCAATTTCTAAAATTATTTTAACCCTTTGATAATTTTGGAAATGTAAATATTTTTTATTTGAGGACGTAGGTATTCAATATTCAATAAATATAATTTTTATCAATATCCAAACTTTTTATTATTATCTGAGGTAAGTATAAAGTGGTGTTTGTTCAAAGATAATTTTAAATCGCTTGACTTGTGAGGAACAAATGTATTGACGATGTCTTAATTCCTTTAAGAAAAATGTTTTGTTCTTAGATAAGTTAGCTGATCATATTTCAAAAGTTTGGGTCTTATTACGCCTACTCCTTTGTAAAGATCATAGTTTTGTTTTAGTGTAGACATTGATTGACGTAAGAGAGTTGGGGCTAAAAAAACTTTGAGGATGTGCTCCTCACAACCCTTAAAAGAGAACAAAACATTTTTCAAACTTATTCTTGGCGTTATTATATTAAAAATCTCCTTTAATTATTTTTTTTAGAAATAATTCTGATGTCATATTATTTAGAAAAATAACTCTTAATCAGCTCATGTAGGATTATCTCGTATCCTATAAAACACGTTTATTGGATCTAACATTTTATAGGGCACGATACCCATCAACTTTTTCAGATAAAATCATTTAATATTAGATAAAAGCAATAAAAAATGTATGAATTTTTTTTCATAAAATGCGAGGTTTGATCTTATTTTTTACGGAACGTGAGGTATCTTACATTGACAATTTAAAAGTTATTTTTCTAACTAATCTCACATGGTGGTTATTTCTCAAAAAAAATTATTAAAGGGGGGTTTTCAATATAATAATTCCCTTTTTGTGAATAAAACTTGAAAAATTCAAGAGCAATATCTGTTTAAAATATTTTTTTAATCATTGACAACGTATACACACACCCTACAGACACATTTACTAAAATTCAAGACTTATAAGAACAACTCCCCCTATAATTATTTGCATGTTAATGAACGGTGATGTAAACAAATTTTTGTACAAAAATAATAATTTATTTTATGAATTTATTGATGCAACTATTTTATTTTAAATGTCACGACAACAAAAAAATTAAAAATTCTTGAAAAATTCTAAAAAAATGGATTAATCTATCCAACTAAAAAATTGATTCAAAGTAGACTTCTAATTCTGATAAAGTAAGAAAACAATAAATAAGCCTAAAATTTATTACAAAATTTCAAATTGTATATTTTTTCAAAAATTATAAAACTGAAATAATTTTAAAAAATATAAAAATTATCATAAATGAAACATGAAGAAAATCAAGAATCAATGTTAATAATAAAAGTAAATGAAGTTTGAAGTAAAAAAAATAACAAGTTGATAGATGAACTAATTAATATAATATTAATATTGAAGATGTACTTATCTTATTAAATGTATAAATAAAATAAATAAATGCAAAATTAAAATATTAAATACCACATGATTCTTTCTATTGATAGCATCAAAGAACAAATCTGAAATGGTTAATGGGCTTGACCCCAAAACTCCCACAAATCTTTTATCACCACCCAGAAACTCCTACCATGAAAATGCACCCACAAATCTGAAACTTGAGATTTTGCCGTAGCTGTGAAAGAGAACAAAAGAAGATGGAATGGGGAGGGTGTTTGTGGTTGAGCTTGATGGAAGGTCTTATAGATGCAAGTTTTGTAGAACTCACTTGGCTCTCCCTGATGATCTTGTTTCCAGCGTACCCACTTCTTTTTTTCCCTCACTCTTTCTGGCGCCCCCCCAACCCCCATTTCTAACCTATTTTTATTTCATTTATCATCAATTACTTTTCTTATTATTTTTCATGGTAAAAGTTGATTCTTTTAGCTGCTACTGATGGGAGCAAGTTTAAAGTTGAGAACTTTAGAAGTGTGTATCTTATTATTTATCAAGATAACACTAGAGAAACATGATAACTAGTTGTTTTTTAGGTTCTGATGATGGAAATATGAAATAGTTGAACCTCAAAGTTTAGGATTCTGAAAAAGAAGACGGTGAATTGGCCAATTTGGGGGAGGGGGAAGTTTATGATTGTTTTCACTTGTCAAATAGATTTAACTTGGTAATTTTTATGTTCAAATTCTGTTGATTCATTAGGGGGATGGATAGGAACCCCAAATGGAAATAAATGATCGAAAATCAACTAAATAAGAAGAGTTACACTAAAATACCCTACCAAAGGACTCATCATCCCTTAAGATGTGGAAATCTCTTTGATTGTTTGAGGCCTTAGATAATGGCGATTGTTCTATTCTGAAGTGGGGACTTTTTGTTTGATCTGCCTTACCTAAAAGCCTTGTGTCAACATACTGAAAGATTTATTTGCTTTGTCTGGTTAGCCATTTTGATTTATCGACTCTGCCTTGTGTCCTCAGTTGTCTTTTATCGAACTATTATCTGCACTGTCTTCGCATTGTGCAATTAAGTCTTTCATTAACCTTTTGAAGTTACAGTGCTTTCTTGGAATATATTGCTTGTAGGTGTTGTTGCATACGTTATTAGAGATCTTCGAACCTGTCATGTTGGAAGAATTTGATCTTCTGTTTCTTTTTTCTATCATAATTAGCTATTCCAATTTGCAATGCTCTCTTTAGCCGAGAAACACCAATACTATCTTGGTTATAGGATTAATAGGTTATTCTTTTAGGATGCCTCCTACCACCTGCTGAGGTACCTAAATATATATTTATATTTCTGTCAGTTTTAATAAAAAATAATTCATATATTCATTAAAATCTAATTGGTATTTCCTAACTGCTAAATAATTTTAGCGAGTTTGTATTTAAACCTCGAGAATCTTGTTTAGTTCCACATGTTTTCCTGGTCAATTTTCATTTGGCAGTCCTATGATAGAAGCAAGCAACAAACTTTAGAGTCAAACAATACAAGAATGACCAAGATTGCTCCCCTATCTATCGAGATGGTTTCCACCCTCCCATTAACGCCACGATTAGAAAGGAGAAGAAAAACTATCAACACGGTTTGACACCCCCCTTTATTTATGGAGATGTTTTCCACCGAGTCCATTCAAGATACAAAGGTAATATATTCAATCCTGAAAACTAAAGAAAATACAAATGCTGCTCTTTGAAACCACGAATAAAAATATACTTTTAAGTATTGAGATAAAGTGACTTCAGTAAACATGTTTGTAGATGTACCATAGACTATATCTTTTTATTACATAAATCAATGATTTCACGTGTAATGTTAGATGGTTAATCCGTTCAGTGTTTCTCGCTTGCTCATATTTCTGTTCTGGTTTCTTAAGAGTTCATTCAAATAGTTCCCCTCAGCTGTATGCTTTGGTTCTGGAATTGTTTTGTATTTTGTTTTTTCAAATAAAAAAACCCACAGGTGTCAACTCCATTCAATTGCTAATGACTTCTTTGGCATTTTCATTATTTGTTCAGTCCTTCCATTGTCGCCGGGGGAAAGCCTATCTCTTCAATGACGCTTAAGATCTCATAGTTTCATCAATGATTGATCGACTTAAAAATTCATTTTCTTTATTTAAAACGATTTTGCTGTTTTTTTTTTTTGCTAAAACTGCTGGCTAATCCTTATAGCAGTTATAATGTGAAATACTGAAAATTTTGAATTATACCACCATGATCTTTCAAAGGAAGTGAATTTTCAAGGTTTCGTGACATTTGCCCGAGAAATATTTCATACTCGTGTGGGCTGATGAATGCTTCGAGTTGCTTGTCATTTTGACAGTTTCATGATTCAGGGTGAATATAACAGTTAGAGCCCTAGAAGAGAGGCTGATGCTTTCCGGAATGCATACCGTGGCTGATATATTTTGCTGCTGCTGCGGACAAATTGTTGGCTGGAAATATGTAATTTCTGTCTTATCTCGCACGCACATACACATCTATTCAGTAAATTGAGTTCTGGATATTATAAATCTCTGAATCTTCCATCTTTGTTTGGGCAGGAGGCAGCATATGAGAAGAGTCAAAAGTACAAAGAAGGAAAATTTGTTCTCGAGCGGTAAGCTTTTTTGCCTTCGGATTTTCACTATTTGTTCTTGACAATAAAACATCATATATGTTTATTTGCTCTCTACACGTGACAGGGGGAGGATTGTTGATGAAATCGATTGCGCATCAGAAGTATACATCGATACTTGTCCTAGTATGAGTGACGGCGAAGATGCTTAGAATGTTGTAACTTGTAGCCACTGTATCTGAAGCAAGATCTAATAAGGGAAGGAGTAAATTTTGTAGATTATATAAAGAAATAATGCAATGATTGCCATGTAAGATTAGGTGTTGTAACTTGATTCCAATGAGTACTTCAATTATGATACAAGTTGCATATTTTCTCAGTGATTATACTTGTGCTGAGCAAATATAAGAACTGAATATCAATTTTAACAGTAATTTAACCATCTCTGTTTCTACTTGTACATGTTCTAAAATGCTCCTCAGTTGCCTGTCAGTTTCTTTGTACCACTTAAACAAGCCCAATCTTCCATCTCTGTTACAGATATGTTGTCCAGCAATGGAGAATATCGATCCATAATATAAGGAATCAGCGTAAAACATGATGGAAAGCAGGGCGGATAAAGTGTGAATATTATCCTGTTGGTAGATATGCTTTAACAAGTTTCTATTGCTACAGAGATGGTCTTCAACAAGTTTCTATTGCTACAGAGAGTCCTCAACAAGTTTCTGGGAAAAGTACCTGCTCAGAAAGAATACCAGAAAGGCCAACTGATGCACCAGGCCTAACATGAGATACAATATCATCTGCCAGTTCTAACAAAGGATTTAGAAGTATATTTGCGACGATCACATCGTACTTTTTGTGTTCTGATTCAACCAGTCTCGTATGAAGTCTGTTTTCGAACATCTTTATGTTCGTCAATTGAGGGGAAGTGTTGCTGGAAACCAGGCGTAATTTCATTTTTTCAGGGCCTATGTCGTTGAGAGTGGCATTGTGTCGTTGAGAGGGTCTATATCAATTCCAACAGACAAAGAAGCACCAAACTGCAGGTCACATCGTTATTGAGAAATTAGCATGTTAAACTAGTGGTTACTTGGACTTGGGTGAGTGCCGGATAAGAACACATATATAATATAAGCTATGCAAAATTCTTTTTCATGTTTTTCCTTGTGGTTTGAGGACCTTGAACGGTCATATCGCATACTATGTCTAGATGTCTCGAAAACGATTCCGACATGTGTTTATCTGACTCATCATCTACATGGAAATAATCGAATATACTCCTGTCTAACACTCATACCCGAGCTTGAGTAACATAGCTTAAGAATCCACTCATAATTAAGAAATAATTACCTTCAGTGCTGCTAGTGCCAAAATGCCAGAACCTGTGCCATACTCCAAGAAGTATTCTCCTCCTTTGATCAATCTTTGTAGCAGCAACAGACACAATCTGGTGGTTGGATGCTCCTCAGTTCCAAATGCCAATCCAGGATTCAGAACAATATTCGTTGCTTCAACATCCTAAAGGATTGAAAGCAAATACCTTGTACTTGTTCAATTCACCAATAATGCTCGAATATGGATAATATTCGATAAACTAGCAATAAAGCAATGTTAAGAACTTAAGATTTCATCACAGTTTTCATTTATTTCGTTATTATTTTCCAAAAAATCAATTAAAGTCTAAAGACATATATTGGAATCTTAACATCATTCGTGGGGTTAAAAACCTCCATCGTCAATGTATATATATATAAACAAGTTTTTCTATGTAAATGGAAGTAAGATACTTAGCTTTAAAGGCCTAGTGGCCAAGATATTCACCCTTGTGGATTTAAGCCACTAGTTTCTCTAAAATAGTTTCTTATAAAAAAAAAGTGTCTAAAATAGTAAAGAGAGTAGCATAATATGTTATCTAGATCAGGTGATGAGTGTGGGATAAGTATATTTTTAACACGGGCATGCTAAAATGTTGTAGCGAATCTATGTCATGGTGTTGGTTATGAGTACCTTAAAAAGAGAAAAATGAGAGAGTTCGGTAACATGCCGCCTGTGTGTAATTAAAGGAGGGACTGCAACATGATCTTAGAGAAAGTAATTGGGACATATAACCATACCGGGGGAATCTTCCATTGAGGGACAACCCAAAGTCCTTCACTCACTTCAACTGGATCAAATGATTCCCATCTCAAACAGAAAAACAAGGGTTCAAATCATATTATCAATGAAATTAGATTTTTTTAACAGTATAACTAAACATCTCCCAGTATCAGCAATCCTTCCATATTCCACACATGGCCTATTTTGTACCAGCAAATGAAATAAAGAGAATGAGAAAAGCAAAACTAACCTGAGTTTTCTTTATCCAGTCATAATGCTCACCTGTTTTAACTTCATAACTTGGTATCTCTTTTAAGCCTACAGAATCAGCAGCCTGTGAGATGCATACATCCACATCTTCAGATTCAGGAAATATGGACTCGATGCATATCTGCGTGAGAAACACAAAATCATTCAAAACCCAATCTTAAATTATAATAAAAATCCCATCTTTAAGCATAGTGAAAATGAAGCTTAACCTCAGTAGAAGCATCACAATTGTCATCTTCATCCACGGTAGTTGAAGTTGCACCAAAGCACATAAGAGCTTCAGAAAACATATCCTAAACAACCAAAAAAAATTTAAAAAAAGGGGATTATATTTAGATTTCCTGAATTAAACCTTACAGAGATATCCTTTCGACATCGAAAACGAACAGAGAGATAAGGGGATAATAAGGCAGAGGAAGCGGGTTCAGATATTGAGGTGTAACAATGAGACAGAGGAGGGAAAATCTTTGTGGGGAGTGATGGTTGGGATTTTTCATTGACGTTTTTGAAGAGGGAAGTGAGGGATGGATGAATGAAACGGCGTGAGAGAGTGCAGAATCCATGGCTTGAAGTTAAGGTAAGGTGTTTGAAGAAATGACTCTGCCATTTTCTTTGGATTGTAAAAGATAATTCTTTGGAATTCTTTTTAAACGTTTAGTTGGAAATTCGGAATATATACATGGCGGTAAACGGGTTTACCCTATAAAAATTGTGAGAAACAAAAAGGTAAATTACATATTTAGTCACTCAATTATTTGAGATATTTTGTTACTAAAGTATATTTTTTTATGATCATCATTGTTACATTTTAGTTTTATTTTGGTCATTTGCTGTTAAAAAATTAACAGAACTGCTGAAGTTATTTTTTAATTTTTTAATAATGACTTGACATTATTTTATGACGATATGTCAGCATCGCCGTTAATTCATGAACAAAGAATGACTAGAATAAAATCAAAACGTAACGTTAGTGATAATTTTGAAAAAAATAATAGTTAGGTGACCAAAATAGAATCATGTAAATGGTTGGGTGGTTAAATACATAATTTTTGAGATATGAATTCTCTATCCCAGTTTGATATTTTTTGTTATAATTTTAAAATGTTACGTTTAGTAGACGGAAGTTGATAACAACCGTTTTTATAACTATAATTATATTCTTTTGTCATTAGAGTGATGATTTTGGTCATACAATTAAATTCAGAAAAAGTAATTATTTATGTCCTGTTTTAAGTTTTAACAATAATGATTAAAAAAGTTATCGATTTTAATTTACAAATAAAAAGTTTCATATCAAAATAAGTGTTTAAGTTATATCATTTTTGTTAAATAAGTGTCTAAATTATTTTTGATTCATCTCGATGCTTAACGTTTTTTCAGTTATCATTTTAAGTGTCTAACGTTTTTTCGTTATCATTTTAGATGTCCGAACATTAACCGTCATTAAAAAATCTCATTAAATGACACATTATATATTCTGATAATTCTGAGATTTAAAAAAACATATTTTATAAATTAAAAAAAAAACTTGTGCAATTCCAACCCCCACCCCTACCCCGCCTGTTCTCCCTCCCCTTCGTCGGTGCTTCTGTGCGCTCGCATCATCCCATGCTTCAATTAATTATATTTTGAGTTGAATTTAATAATAAATTTAGAATTATGATTAGGGATTTGAGTATTAGATTTAAGGATTTGTATTTAAAAAATTTATAGATTTAGGGGACTTAGTGTTCGATCGATTGTAAAAGTATGAGATTTTTGTTTGTGAGTGGTTGGCCAGTTACATGTCATTGGGTGTTTGGCCAATTAACGGTGTTGATGATGTCCGGGGGTGTCAAAAAGATTAAAATTAATGTTTTAAAAATTTTAGGTTTTTTTTTAAGATTTAAAAAATTTATTTTTTTTAAATATATATTTTTATTTTAAATAAAAATTCTCAAAATTATCAGAACGTGACACGTATCACTTAACAAATTTTTTAATGGCGGTTAACGGCTGAGCGTCTAAAATGGTAACAAAGAAAATATTAGGGATGTAAAATGATAATAAAGAAAACGTTAAACACCAATATGAGTAAGAAAAATAGTTTAGCCACCTATAAGATAAAAGTGTATAGTTTGGATTCTTATTTTGATATTAAGCCCAAATAAAATTATAAAATTTAAAATATGAAAGATCAAAAATAAAAAAGTTTGAATATAATAGAGGGGCTAACGTCAGAATTTGACCTATAATTTCCAAAACTTAATAATCAAAGAGTCCCTGAAAAAGGAAATGAAAAAAAAAAGTAAAAAACAAATAGAGCCGAGAAGAAATGTTCTCCTCTAACCCGTTATCTCTCAGCGTTCCCGACCCTACCTTCGAATCGTGGCTCCGTGATTCCGGCTACCTAGATGTCATCGACGACCACCAGACTGCCGCTGCCGCCTCCACAACCGCTACCGCTACCACTCCCACAATCAGCGACTCTACAATAACCATCCCAGTAAGCAGCTTCTTTTTAAGATATTTGGTCTCTTTTCTCTCTCATTTGTGGACGCTGCTCTCCCTGTTAACGTTTAACCCATTCGCCAAGCTCACCACCAACGATTTCTCTGGAGAAACTCCTTCGTGGACTAAAGGGTTCTTCGCGGATTTTGGGTCCTATTCGTTTCCAGCTTCGGTTTCTCAAGTGAGGCTCAGGGTTCAAGAGAATGTTAAGCGTTATGCGCGGAATTATGCCTCACTTTTTATTCTCTTCTTCGCTTGTTCTCTGTAAGCTCAAAATCCTCTTCTTTCATATGCATTTATTTCTTGTTGTTAATTGTGAGGATTGTTTTGGTTCTTTCCAAGGATTGGTAAATTGGGTTTTCTCGTTTGTTTCCTCAGAAAGTTGTGGGGAAAAGAGAAAAAGAAAAATTTAAGAATTAAGATAGTTTATACAGCCATCTTTGCTAATTGCTTGTTTTCTGTTTATGTTTCATAGGTATCAGCTGCCACTTGCACTTGTTGGGTTGATATCAAGTTTGGCACTTTGGGATTCATTCAGGTTCTTCAGTGATAAATGGGGTTTGGATAGGTTTCCTGTTACTCAATTGATCTTGGTTCGAATTGTGCAATGTGGTTAGTTCTCGAACTTCAGCACTGTAAAATCTTCTTTTGAATTTGAAATTTTTAGTGAAATCTTATGATGGCCTGTCAATGTTTGGAATTTACGAGTAGAGCTTTCTGAATGATTACTCATTTTTTTTCTATCTGCAAAAGATGACCCTTGCCTCAAGCAAACTGCAAAATATTAAATTTTCGTAGATTACGGTTTGTATGAACTAGTTCTTGTTGGATAATAATGCAATCCATTGAAGATTGTAGATACTGTATAGAAAGGTGAAAGCGAAGGAGATCACTAGCAGATAGAAGCTATTTTCTTTTAGTTATATAATGCTCAACTTTCTTTCATCTTTTGCAGCTACTGCAATTATTTTGCTATGGTTGAATGTTCAAATGGCTTTGTGTTGTACCATTGGTGTCAGTTATATAGGTAAATATTGTATTTAAAAAAACTTCTATTGATGATTTTTTAATTTGTTTGAACTTATAATTGAATTCCCGTTGTAGTTATGATTTTGCATGCCGCATTCCGGAAGCTGACTCCGACAAAGCAACCTTCTCGAGCTAGATCATGGAAATAGGAGATTACAGCAAACCTAACAAGAATATGGCCAACTCCATTTTGCGGTTTACTTCTGCAGCAATAGATCAACTTCTTCTTTCCAGTGAGATACAAAAAAATCCTCTTTATAGTATAATGGCTTATTATCTGCTGGATGATTTTTAGTTGTTGGTCTTTTCTCAGCACATGTAAAATGAAAAAAAATGAAAAAAAGAAAAAGAAATGTGCATTATTACACAATAAACATTGGATAAAAGATCTTGTTTTGCTATCTGTCAATCATATGCTGTTTTTTTTTTTTTTTTTTTTTTTTTTTTGTATCTTCCTCATCAAAGCTCACTCTCCCACTTCCTGCTCGGAAGTTGGCTGATTCATTCAGAGTTTGCTGTTAAACGGTGCATCTCATTTAATGTCCTAAACTTTGCTACATGCAGAACTCGAATAGAAATCGAAGAGGTGAGTATAATTCGATTTGTAACTTTTGTTTTGCCTGCAATCCCTCTATTAGTTCTAAATTAGAATTTTCTTTTGTAATGATTTGTTGTATCTTGTTGTTTAAAAACAAACTCCAGTCATTGAGCTCCAAAAGTTAGGTTCAACCCCTTTGTGCTACCCTGCTGCTCTGTGTACAACTTTCCATGATTGAATGTTTTGATCCGACTCCTCATTTTTCTTAAAGCATCCATATTTGATACTCTCATCCTACTTGGATATATGTTTAGGACCTTTCAATGATTCTCCGAATAGGAAAACTTAGAAGACGTCGAACATGCTTGTGTTTCACACATGATACGGCCTTGTACTTACTCCAGATTAATAAAGAAAGAAAACTCACGATAAGTTAAATATACATGTGTCTGGGATTTTGACATAATGTTTATACGACTGACAGAAATACTCTTTAGTTTAGCTCTGAAACATTGATCTTTTGTGCTGGGAATCAACATTGCTGAAAGTGAAAGTATTGCTACAATGGCAGCCACTTCTTACCTTCATATGAAACTTGGAATTTGGCTAAATCGAAGCTCTTGATTTTCAGCTGAAGAATATATATTGTAAGTTTGATAACAAAATCAAACAATATTAACTCAAGATCTTTGTAAATGTTCCTATCCATTCAATTATAAAATTAAGGGTAAGCTACATGTTTAGTACCCCAACTAAAACCTTTGTTTCGTTTAGGTCGCATAATTTTTTTTCGATCATAGTTAGCATCATGTTTTGGTTTTATTTTAGTAATCTATTGTTAAAAAAATTGCTGATGTGACTTTTTTTAATTGTTTTTCAATAATGTTACACTATCTTATGAACACACATTATCATGATCATTAATTTTTTTAAAAGTACAAAACATATAATTTACCTTAAAATTTATAAGAAAAAAAAGGGAAAATATAATACGTCAACATTAACATCGTCTTAGTTTTCACTTTTTATAGAAAATTGGGTAAACCCAAAGGAAAAGCTCAAAGTCTCCTTTCATTTTTTTGGGGTTTGGCTTCGTATGCGTCTTTTTCCATTTTATTCAACGTCGTTGTATTTTCAAGTCACCACCGACTGACGAAGGGTTAAGTCTTCTTTCTCTTTTTTTCTATTTCTCGTCGTTTTGAGCTGTTGGTTGTGGTGTTCGGTTGGGTGTTAGGGTCTCAGTTATGGTAGTTGGTTGAGGGAAGTGAAGGGTATTGTGCTTTTGGGTTAATGGTGGAAGTTTGGGTGCAAGTCGTGGATTTGTTCCATGGCGGTGGTTGGTCGAGATGTTGGGGTATGGGTGACGGGTGTAGCCAAGAGGCTTGGAGAATGGTGATGCAATGGTGTTCTGTTGGGTGATACTAGGGGTGCACAAAAAATCCGAATATCCGATTTTACGAAAAAAATATCCGAAACCGGATTTGGGAAAAATCGGTTTTTTTTAACCGGATCGGATTTTTTTAAACCGGTTATTTTAACCGGTTTGGAGAAAAAAACCTAGACCGGTTTTTTTACACGATAAAAAACCGGTTTTTATCCGAAAAAAAACCGGTCTGGGTTTAAAAAACTAGCCGTTGGGGGGTTTTGTGACCGTTTTTACCTTTTTTCTTTAAAAAATTACCATTTTACCACCCTAAACATGTATAAATAGGTTGGGGATGTATTTGGTTGATTACAATTTTCTCAAATCTTATTACACAACACCTAAACATCTCTCAAATCTTATTTTTGTAATTTTTTGTTCATCATGAGTAACACGGTTGAATCTTCCGTCGGGGAAAACCTTGAAGTCGTGAGAGTGATCGAACACACTCGAAACAAAGATATTTGGGATCACTACAATTTATGTGAGATGTCAAATGGCTCGAGGAGGGCGCGTTGTAAACTTTGTCTAAAGTTTCTTGCATCGGAAGGAAACACAACGTTGAAGAACCATTTGACAAAATCATGCAAGGCACTTCACTCAAGATCGGATCTTAGTCAATCGAATCTTACATCGCAAGGTGGTGTTTTTGTTTACGACAACGAAAAATTACAAGAAGCGTTTACAAAGTTCGTGATTACAAAAGCATTGCCGTTCGACCACTTTGATGATGAAGATTTCACGACAATAATTCAACAATTAATGCAACCACGTTATACTCAAGTAAGTCGTACTACCCTTAAAAGAGATGCTATAAAAATGTGGCGTACGGCGAGGGAAAAAATTATTTTAGGATTTCAAGAACACCGTTATGGTGTGTCACTTACATGTGACGTTTGGAGTTCCCCTCATAATACCGGAAATTCTTTTTTACCCGTTACGTTACATTGGTTAGATCAAGATAATTGGCAAATGATGAAAAGAACAATCGCGTTTGAATTATTCGGTGAGCCCGCATACCGGTGCTAATTTATTTACACTTTTAAAAAGGGTAATTTGTCTTTATAAATTAGAAAATAAAGTTTTTTCTATATCATTTGATAATGCATCGAATAATACAAACGCGGTTCCAAGATTGAAAATATTACTTTCACCGATTTTAGACGGTGAGTTTTTTCATACCCGTTGCGTTGCACACATAATTAATTTATCCGTGCAAGCTGGTTTGGAGGTTATTGAGCCGATTAGATTAGAATTTAAAACAATGATAAAATCGGTTCTTTGTAACAACAACAAAAGACTAAATGAGTATAAACGATTTTGTAAGTCCGTTAATAAAAAAACTTTGGGTCCTAATTTGGATTATCCAACTCGTTGGAACTCAACTTGGATGATGATGCATACTGCCTTAAGGCAAAGGGAAACATTACAAACATTTCACGATCGGCTTTTCGAGAGGGGTCATGTCCCAAACATTTATCCGGATTCGAGTTGGGAAACTATAGCCAAAATAACCGATTTGCTTGGGGTTTTTAAAAATGCAACAACTTTTTTATCCGGTGTTTATTACCCTACTAGCCCATTGGTTCTTAATCAAATATTTTTGTTGGCTACCCGACTAAATGACTTTGAATTTGAAACCGAAGTTTTTCAAGAATTGGCTTTGCAATGAAGGAAAACTTTAAAATATTTAAGGAGATTCTCCCCATTTTTACTTGTGCTGCCGCTTTAAACCCAACGTTAAATGTTGGCAGGGTTGAAACACTAATTGAACAAATTGCGTTTGCTTTTAATCTAACCGATGATGAACCCAACTTTGTCCAAAACCAAATAAATTATTTTAACAAATGTTTTCGAGACATGTTTGCAATTTATTTAACTAAATACGGATCAAGTAGTGTAATACACGATCAAATGAGAATGAATGCGGAATCATCTAGTAGACGTCCAAGTAACATAAATTTAAATCTTTTTTAACACTCTTGTAAATTCCCAATCCAAACATACTACCACCCCAAGTAGCGAGTTGGGAAATTACATGTCATGCGATTTTCTATCAAAAATGACATTTGAAGAGTTTGAAAGTTTGGATATTTTAGCTTGGTGGAAAGAAAAGGAAGCACAATTTCCGATTCTAGCCGCCATGACCCGTGATTTACTAACTGTCCAAGCTTCTACGGTAGCTTCGGAATCCGCTTTTTCTGTTAGTGGCAGGGTTATATCGCAACGGAGATCAAGAATAAGTCCCGAGTCGGTGGAAGTATGCATTTGTTTAAAGGATTATTTGGATGGAGCGGCTCGTAAGCAACATATCACCACCCTAGAAGATGCAATTGATGCCGATTTGGAAGCAAACTTACACATTGAAGAAGTCGAACTTGGAATATCCCCTCCAAACGAAGAAGGCGAAGATGATGAAGAAGAGATGGCAATGTAGTTTATTTTTAAACTTTATTTCAATTATCGTAAACTTTGTTTCAATTATTGAACTTGAAGTTTTTAAGTATTTGAATTTATCGAACTTGGAAGTTTTTAAGTATTTGAATTTATCAAACTTGGAAGTATTTAAGTATTTCAATTATGTTGAGTTAATCGATCGACGGAATCGGCCAAGAGGGGGTGAATTGGCAATTAAAATTTTGGTGGAAGCTTTTGCAGAAAATTGAAAAGATTTGCACAGCGATTTAGAGTGGTTCGACTTTCTCAATCAAAGTCTACGTCCACTACCTTAGCTATCCACACTAAGGATTTTCCACAAATTCACTAATTTGTCTTTCTTTTAAGGACAAAGAGTAACCTTACAAACCCTCAAGAATTATACCCCAAATTCTTGAGAAAACTCTCTTCCAAAGAGAACAATACAAATTTACAAACTTACAAGGAAATCCTCACAAGGTAGATTGTTTGCACAATTCTAGAACAAAGAAAAGAACACTCAAAGATGAATACAATTGAGCACAATATGTGTTCTTGAAAGCAAAATGATATTGAATGAAAATAGGCTTGAAATGCTCAAACTTGAGGTTTGATGCTTTCTCTTTGTTTCTCTCTTGATTCTAGTTGCTTGATGTTTCTTGTCTTTGATCAATGGTTTCTAAGCTTGCTTAAATACACCTTGAATCACTTCTGAACGTTAGGGATAATTAATGAAGATAATATAGCCGTTTAAGTGTGAAAACATTTAATAAAAATGCTTAGAGCGT